GAAAAATCTTATAAATTGAATCTCAGAGTTTTCAGCAGTTTTCCTAGCTTCGTTAAGCTTTTCTCATTAGGTTTCAGAAAGGTCTTTAATATCCTCAGGTTTGTCTCATTCCACTGCTGCCATCAATTTTTGAGCTTCACCATGCCGCAATATCATGCGAATAAATTGGTAAAGGTCAGGGAATCCTAGATCGTAAGCTCCTACTGAAGCTGCCTTTTTCGCAAATCAGTAATAGGGTGCAAGGCGAGAACTATGGTAAGGGCCTAGCTAAAAATAAGGATAATAATTAGTAACTGTCCACCTGCTTGTTTATCTATAATTGCCACTCTGGAGCCATGCAGCTGGTGGTCATAAAGATTCTTAACTTCCCTTCATAGCTGCTGTCCATAAAGATTCTTAACTTTCTCTGTAGATAACATCACCTTTTTGAAACCTAAAGATAGTTTTTAAGATATTTTCCAGGGCCCACGTTCCGGTGGGTTGGTTGACCCACCCAATGGACCAGCTGTCCATACCAAGAAACCTACTCAACTGGAATTGTGACCCCAGGGACTGAAACAACATAAGAAGATGATTTCTACACTCCTATAATTTTGCCCCAATTAACAAACCAATTGCCTAATCCCTGGCCTGTCAAACTACCCTTTAAAACCCTGTCTCCCAAATTCTCGGGGAGGCAGATTTGAGAAATTTCTCCTGTCTCCTTGCTTAGCACTGTGTGGAATAAAGACTCTCTCTGCCTTGTAAAACCCTGCTCACTCAACCTATTGGCTTCCTCTTGGGCAGCAGGCATGTGAACCTGGTTGGGCACAGCACTATGGGAATTCTAAATTCCTCAGTAAATTTTTGAAGATTTTCCCTTGGCTTAGGGAAGTACCTTACAATGGCTCTAAGCTGTTTTAGACCATGAGGTAAAGGTGGTTACAGCAGAAAGGCCTGGCTGATCAGAAGGTCTTACTTACTTTGTAAGGCATCTATCTAACTACTTTTTTCATCATCTTCTGGGTAAGAGGGTAATTTAGCAAAAAGTTAGTGGACTCAGAGTATTTAGGTAAAGTTGGATAAAGAGAAGGAACAGTTGAGGTTAGTTCAGTGAGAGTACAGTCCTCTTTCGTGTCCTTCATCTGTTGCTTAAGCTTTTCATTTGCTTTTTGCAAAGAATCTTTTAAGGAGGCAATTTATTTACTTAGTCTTTTAGATGCCTCACATACCAATTATAGTACGTATCCCACTGTTTTTGTAGGGTTTTTGATCCTCTTTTTCCTGATATGCCTTACAAATAAACAGTTTTATCCAAATCAAAACTTCTCCATTGTGGCCATCTTAATTCTACATGGTCTCTAGTAAGGAGAACCCACTTTTCTGAAAATGCATATGTTCTGGGCCCATAAATTTTATAAATAAAATTATCTAGACTTCCAGACTCCTTGGATTAAGACAATACATTATGAAAAAGGTACCTACCTGAGGCTCAAGACCTCTTACCGAATCCAATAGAATTAATTATCAAATCCAATCTCATCCTGGACCCAGTCCAGTCTAAATATTGCTCAAATAAACTTGGAGAGCTCAGGACACAAATTAGTGGAGCTTGGAATGCAAGAGAAAAATTACCTGTGACTTCTCGTTACAAACAAAAGAGCGATGAGCCCAACTGGCTCCACAGGTACCACACCTGGTTGCCTAGTGTTCCTAGGGGCCACTGAAGTTTTACTTCAGATCCTCACTTCTGACACCAAATCTATTAAAAGAAAAACTTTGGACAAATTTAACAGAATTTAATTGAGCAAGAAAAAAGAAAAAAAAAACAACAATGCACAAATCAAGCAGCCCCCAGAATCAGAAAAGATTTAGAGAGACTCTAGGACTGCCACAGATCGGATAAGATTTAAGGACAGAAAAAGGAAAGTGACATACAGAAAACAGAGTGAGGTACATAAACAGCTGGATTGGTTACAGACTGGCATTTGCCCTATTTGAACTCAATTTGAACAGTTGGCTGCCTGTGAGTAGTTGAAGTATGGCTGCTGTGATTGGCTGAAACTCAGCTGTAGTTACAGAAGCATACTTCTAGTTTAGGTTTTTAGCTTGTTTACTAAATTAGGTTGCAGTTCATACATAAGAACTCGAGTACGCGAGAACACAGGCTTTCTCAGGCCAAATTTACTTTGATTTAATACCTTACGGAAGAGACTTCAACTGATAAACAGACAAAAAAGTGGATCAAAGACAGTTCATAGAGCAGAAAATACAAATGGCTAATGAGGATTTTTTAGTCTTTAATTTTACTGATAAATAAAAAGAAATATTGGTTTTAAAATGAGAAATCATTTTCACTTATTACGATATATTTTATAAAATATTCAAATTTGGGAAAGTTGAATTATAAAATATAAACTGCCAGAGCCAGTGTATGTCAGGAGCCTTAGCACGTGTTCATATCCTTTGTGATCCAGAAGTTTTGCTTTCAGGAATCTTTACTAGAAAATAATCAGAAAGAGGACAAAGCATTACTTGCAGTCACTGTACATATAAAAATCAGAAACTATGTAACTCTACATATGGGAGAATGACTAAGGAAACTGCTATATGTACAAAATGTAATATTGTGATTTGTTTATACTGTTAACAACATGGGAGCATGCCTCTGATACAATGTTAAGTGAAAAAAATTGGGACGTTATAAATTAGATCTAAATTATGTTTTTTAGCAAGCATAGAAAATATACTGGAAATAGATATGTTAAGTGTTGTCGAGGTCCTCTGTTCTGTTCTTTTCTTTGCTTCTTTAATAGCACACCCATGCAGGGGAGGAAAACCCATCCTAGGTTCATGGCTGAGGCCCCTATAACAAAAGACAGATTAAATGAGAGAAAAGCATACAAAGTTATTTAATAAATTTTATATGATGGGAACCATCATAAGAAAATAAAGACCTGAAGAAATGGTTAAATCTGTGTATTTTTATGCTAGGTTTAATGAAGAGAGGACAGTCGTGGAGAAATATTATATGATAGGAAAAAAGGAGTATAATAGTAATAAACTGGAGGAAGTTTACCAAGGGCTGTTCAGATTCTTTGTGACCCTCCATTTTCGGAGATAAGGATGTTCCTTTCATATAAGGAGGACATGTCTTGCATCAGGGTCTTATGACATGCTTCAGGTGGAATTCAGAAAATCCTTCCTAAATTCTGTGACCTGCTTCTGGGGAGAAAGATGGGAGAAGCTTAGAGTGGCCTTCCTGCCTCTGCAGTTTTCTCAGATTCCTTTAACTTAAATTATTCAATATGCCAAAGTGCCATATTTTGGGGTAGCGTGTCCTGAACCTTATTATCTGCACTTAATAATCATGAAGGATTATTTATTTTTACTTCCCTTCCTCCGTTGGACTATTCATGAGAGAAGGGTACCATGTTTTTCGTATCAGTGCCTGTACAACATACAGCATAGTGCCTGACCCAATGTGGACAAAAATATTGACTGATGATGGGTGATGGGCCTATAGGTGACCTAATCTTCAGGCTTTATTTTTCATGACGGACCTGCAATACTTGTATTATCTGAAAAAGAAGACAAATTTTAGAAAAGTTTCTATTATGATAATGTTCTTTAGTAATTAGCCCAGTTTTCTAACGGGTGAATGGGAAGCATATGTGATAAAATCTACACAAAGGTAGAAGTAGAAACATTTTTTTCTTTGTGAATGGAGATTATGTCCGTTCTCCCAACTCCATTCCATGTTATGATATTTGGATTGTGTTATTCTGCCTTGTGGAAATAGTCTGCACAATGTTTTACCTGCATAAATAGAAACAAAATGTACTCTGTCATGTCCTGTGGTTTGCTTAACATGATTTGGTGTCTTGGCTCTGCTGCCCGTGGTGCTGGTTAGCTATAGAGATACAAGGAATATCAGGTTTGAAGGAAGTATTGAAAGGAGAGCTGATTTTCCTTTTCCCTTTTCCTCCCACCTACTCGCCTTCAGGTGTAACTTTATTATGCCTTTATTATTTGTACAATTTAAGTGCTTTAGAGCTGGGGCAAGTGACACTGCATATGCAATATTAGCATTTTCTAAGTATGCCAAATATATTAAAAATTGGCAGAAAAAGTAGTAACAAAAATAAAAATAGCATAATAGTTTCCTTCTGGCTTGCCTGAAATGGATATTTTAGCTATCAGCTCAAATATTTGGAAATTGTAAAATCTATCAAATTTTCTAATGACACAGCATATGGAGTAGAAAGTTACTGAAAGGTGGGTTAGAGGCTAATTTTGCAGACTGCAAATCACAAATGTAGAATTATGGATGTCTGGAAGTATGTTGTTTATGTTCACCAGTGTATGTGTGTAAGATAATTTTGAAAGTAGAAGCAGTTAACAGCTACATAAAACAGAGCATTTTTATTTAAAGCAATTATGATAGAATAAGAATGGAAGGAAGAAAATTTTGGTAGATTTTAGCTGGTTTCTAGGGGACATTGGAAGAGAAAACTGCCTCAGAAAAATGAGGAATGTGCCTGCAGGTTTAAACCTGAGTTTGAATGTGTAAATTTTTCTTAGATCTGAGCAGTGACTAGGAAGCAAGTTTGCGCTTTTCCTTTATGCACTGTTAGTCCTATTAATGAATACCACCAGGTGACTGATAGTTTTCTGAGCTGAAGAAGCATTGTGCGTGGGATCTAGAAAGTCAGGTTTAAGAAAAGGATGTCAGTGACTTAAGACCCGCGTCACATGACTCCCTCTACTTGCCAACACTGAGGCTGTGGATCAAATTTCAACTACAGGCAGTCCTCCCAGCCATGTGGCTTTAGCCGAATAAAAAGCAAAGCCACACTTCCTAAAATGTTAGGAGCTGCTCTCAGCTTACTGTGGGGCCTTTGGATCGGGAGCTGTTTTTCAAATCAGAGCACATCTGCTGAATGGAATTTAAGTGTTTTGCTGTCATTTTAATGTTTTCATTTGGTCTTCATCAGTTCTTCCAAACACTTCCTGAGAGAATGGGGGCAGGAGCTCTAGCCATCTGTGTAAGTACAGGCCTTCTTCTGTCTTCTGTGGATACTACCAGTTTTTAGGGAGAGGCCTTTGCCCTCCTTGTTTTGATGAGAACTTTGTATAACTTTTTTTCCTTCCTAGGAGGTGGAGAAATATTTGTTACTTAAATTCCTAACTATTGAAATGGGTATTAAACAGCATTTTGGGTGACATTCAGCATTTTTGTGCTCTTCAGTTTCCAAAAAAAGGTGAAGGAAAATACATGCCTGCTTTATTTGGCTAAGTCAACTTGATTTAAAGTAGAGTATACTCAAGTGGTTTAGACTTTCTTGTTCCTAAAGAGTTAAATATGAATGTTTAATTGTAGTTATTGGAAAAATCCTGTGGCTAGCTTGAGAAAGAATTGAAATAACCATTAATTAACCTTTGAGTGTGTGTATGACATTTTTCTATTTCGTATTCCTATTTTTGTCTAGTAACTCTAGAATTTTTGTTTCAGCATAGTTGCTGAAAGTGATGGTGGAAAAGCTTGGTTGATATATATTTGTGAATCCTTAATCAACTGGAAACTTCTGGTTTTTATAATACAGGAGCATCAATAAACAACACTGATATAAAATCTGTAGGAAAATGTGCGTATTTCTAGGATGGAAATTCATGAATTTCTAAAAAATTCTGGTGCTTATATAAAACCTTTTACAATAATCAAATATTGTCCATTATATAATTTATAGAATGCTGTAATTTATATTTTTATTTCACTATAGAAAATGCATAGATTTATATGTGAATTACATATATTTACATTTCAAGTTGATATTGTGTTCCAGGGGGCATTTTATTTGTCCACGGAGGTACTACATGAGAAATATCATCTTCTTTATTATTACCTTAACTACTCATTAACTGTTCATTTTTTTTTTTTGTTTTGTTTTGTTTTTAGATTCAGAAAGAACTGCAGTTTGTTGTAGGTGGATGTGTGATGGCATCCTTAAATATCCAGAAATATCTGGGCAATTTTTGACACATAGACACTGAATGGTCACCAGATGGAGGACCATCCATCCCCACAGATTGCATTTTCTTAGTAAAACTGCAGGATGACTTCCTTGTTTCCAGGCTCAGAACTTTTCAGCATCCTGTGTGTCAGACTCTCTGTCTTCCTTTTAGCCCTGAGGCTTGTAGCATCTGGGTATTCAGGTGATTATCTTTTTATCACTCCAAAGAGTTTCCTTCAAAATCTGACTTGTTTATGTGTAAAATATTGATCTTTGTATTTTGTTACAAAGACAAATCTTCTGTTTTTCTAGCTTTATAAAAGAAAAATATAGAACGGAAAATGTGTAGAATGAGGCAGCAGATTGACCTATTTGTCTTGCAGATTTGTAGTCATCTCTGATTGTCTGATTGTGTTACTTCTTGCCCTTGGCCTGCAATACATTGATTTTTACCTTGATTGAAATACACTTTGACTCGTGTGGAACTTCATGATTTTCCTTAATTTATATCCAAAACGTGAACAAAATTTCATTTAAGGTTGACATAAAAATCACAGTTTAAGAAACTACTCTGGTAGATGAGTCTCTTCTCTGATGGTTGATCTTCCCTGGCTATTGATGAGATTCCTAGTGAGGAGGTCTCAAGACTATTGCGTTTCTTTTGGAAAGAAGTTTCTTTAGTCAGGTGAGGATATTCCAGAGAGTCATTTCTAGTGCTCAGGAAAGAAAGATCAGAGAGACAGGGTGGGCAAATATTAACTACAGTCCTAGTGTATGCATTTCGTTAACTATCTTAACTATTTTTTGAACAAAAAATAAAGGCATAAATAAACAAGGTCACCAGCACTTACTTACTAAAAAGCATGTTGGTATAAAACTCAGGAGATCTGGGCTGTAGGCGCAGCCCTTTCTCACTGAGATTACCACAGTGATCCTGATTTTCTTATTCCTAAGGTGATAGTATGAGCACTAAAAGACCCCTAAGGATTTTTCTAACAGTAAAATCCTAAAGTTTTCTGTCCTTTTAATGTGGGAACCTATATTGCTTTTACACAGACATACACACAACGCTCTGTAGTCCAGTCTTCAAACTCAAATGATGTATGGGAATTTATATGCAAACAAAAGCCAGGAGTGGGGAACCTGTGACCTCAAGATCCCCAAGTGCGGCCCCTTGACTGAATCCCAATTTCCCAGAACAAATCCCTTTATTAAAAGGATTTGTTCTGTAAAATTGGGATTCAGTCAAAAGGCTGCACTCAAGGATCCAGAAGCCCCAAGTTTGAAGTTTGAACAGTTAAGGTAGACTCAGAATACCTTAATTAGTAACTGTTGTTACTGTTACTGTTGAATATTTGTTGATTTGGGGTCGCCTAGCCTCCACTTGTCCTTTTTCCTAATATAAAGTCCTGACTATGTTTTGGGGAATGACTGCACCTTCATTGTCAACAGCTTTAAGGAGACTATAGCTCAAAATGATTGTCCTGCCTCTAGCAAATAGTGGGCCCAGTATCCCCACCAGGTGAATCAGACCCTTTCTCCTGCAGGCAACTGAAGCTTGAGTGGCTTGTCAAAAGACAGAAAAATGGTTGGGGCTTCTTTATTAATAATAAAGGCAATATCAATATTAAGGCTAGAAAGGTAAGATGTGTATTTGAAGGGAAGCTAAAACTCTACAAGTATTTAAATTTACAAAGAGGTAGAAATGTATCATTGTATTACAGTACAAAATAAAGTTTAAATGGAATTAATTATAGTTTTTCATTTCTATAGTTAATTAAATAACTAGAGGACTATTGACTATTTCTTATTACTGGAAAGGATATTTTATATTTGCTCAAAGCTGTTGTATATTCTTTAATAGTTTAGGTATAAACTATTAGAAACATCTCATTATTGGTTTCTATTACATGTCTCCTTTTCCAAGTGAGTTAGAAGAGCAAAACCTTATAATAAGTATTTATGGTGATGTGAAGAATTAATTGGGATGTCTCTGAAAATACAACTATTATGTTTCGTTGTGGTTGTTTTTTAAACAATGTTTACTTTTAAGAAGTATTACCCTGAATTAATTCCCAATTAAAAACAAGAATCAAATCTTCCTATCTTACTGAGAGTATAATTGCTATTTCATTGTTTTTTAACCAATATTTGTTTTTCTTTAAAGTATTAGCCTGAATTAAATTGCCAATTAAAAACAATAATCAGATTTTCCTTTATTACTATCATTATGTATGAAGATATTATATAGTATGGCTCTATTTTGAGTGAGTAGGTAGTTTAAACTGCATTCGCTTCAAAATATGTGAGGTTAATTATGTCTCTTACCTGAATACTTTCTGAGTCACCATGCCAAGATTGCTTGTTACCCTATTTACAGAGACACAACGTACTGTCTGTAGTTCTAACCAATGGAGAGAATGAAGAGGAAGGGCTATTAACAGAGCATTAATTGACATATTAAAAGATGCAAATATGTCAATGAAATTTGACCTGATTCTGTAGATTATGCAATTCAAAATCAAATTGAGATTACAAGTATCCTACTCAACATAATGATTGTGGAATTAACTACTTGCATGTAATTGTCTTATGTCATATATAGCATTTATCATAGTTTACTATAATTATATACTAACTGCACTATAACATTAAATCTCAATCAAGGAGAGGAACACAGACCCAGAACAAAATGAAACTGTCTTTTATTAGTTCTGTGACTTTTACCAAATTACTTAACTGTGGTTTTGTTTCCTTAACTCTAGATTAGAAGTAATGTTTCTACTCTTAGGATACTGTAATAACTAAATGGTAGTCACTTAGTAATATTTACATTTTGATTAGTTGCTACATTCATTCTCAACAAGTGAAAGTTTCCCCTAGTTCTGCTGCCTCTGTCCCCCAGTAAAATTGTTTACATTTTGCCATCTTTCTTTTCAGTGTTTTCATTTTACTAACACACATTTACAACATTTAGAATAGGACACATGCTTAAAAAAATGTTCTCTTCCTTGGGATACAAATTTTTATTAAAAGGAAGAAACAAACATGGAATTTTCGTTGTTAGTAACTTGAGTCAATTGAATATAAGTTTCATTTTTTATATATAGTCTTGTTGAAAATTTTAAAATTGTGACTACCTAAAATGTTGCTATTTCAAAGACATGGCATTTTGAACCTAAATGAGAATCAAATTGATTATATGTGCCAAAAAATTACTGAGATATATACAGAGGCAATCAAGTCAGAGAAATAAAATGTTCACTCTACATTTGTAATTTTTCTTTTGACTCTTTAAAGCTACCTTAAAATGACATCTAGATAAGTTTTCATCTTTAAAAACATCTCAGTGTTTCTGGCTCTGCGTGGGGTTTCAGTGTTAAAAATGTTTTATTTTCCTGTTAACCAGGTGCTTCTGAGTCACACCCCTTGGTTACTGTAGTAATATCTCTTAGATACTGCAGTGTGTTGCTCCCTCTCTTAGCCACACTTAAGTCGTGGCTTTAGGTTTCTCATTATTTTCCACTCTGTTTAACCATTATATCAGTCTGTGACTTTCGTAACACTGAGCAACACGTGAGAGACGTTAAAGATTTTTATTTGAGTTGAAGTAAAATTAAGCGAAGACCACTACTATTTGTCTCCAAATGTTTACATTTTGATTCAGGTGCTTCGGTTGTAACCATGCAACCTCCTGTGGTAAATATGACTGACTGCTCTTTTTTCTTCCGTTCTTTTAAGCAAAGTAAAGCAGCAGTTCGGCTGAAAGAAGACATGAAAAAGATAGTGGCAGTGCCATTAAATGAACAGAGGGATTCTACCTATAAGAAATTATTTGGAGTCAGTCTCCAAGAACTTCAACGGCAGGGGCTCACTGAGAATGGTATTCCAGCTATTGTGTGGAACATAGTGGAATACTTGACGCAGCATGGTAAGCTAAGGCATGTTTTAGTTCTGTTTGTTTTTATAGTTCTTGCATAAAGGGAGTTTGTTTGAATTATTTTATAATGTATGATTAGAATATCTTCTAAAACACCTTACTTAGTATATCAACTTATTGTGTAATATACTCTTCCCTTAAAAAAGGACATTACTGCTTGACATACTATCTTATCAACATTATCTTGACGATACCAATTGGATTAACGACAGAGCAATCACTTTAATTATTTAGATTTCTAGTTTGGAATGTTTTCTAGTTTTAATTGCTTAACTACACTTCACATATACTGTACTAATATTAATAGTGAGTTCTCTTGATTAATTAAATTTCAGCTGATAGTCATTAATTTTTAATGTAATCGAACACTTTCTGGGTATCTCTTTCAGCTGAGACCAATCATGAACTTACTGAATGCCTTGACGGTGTTCAGACACTCAGTAGGGATACTAAAAAATTATGCCTATTACCCTACTATTGGGGTGTCCTTTATTTTTAGAGTGATAAAGTTAAGCATATTAAGCATTTGGAGAATAATATAGTACATTGCTCAGTGAAAGGTAAATTACATTTCTTAGTTATTGAAAGCTTGTAGCCCACAGCTTTTTGATGATTTTATTTGAAACAAAACATAAACCTGGGTAATTTGAGAGAATGCTTCCATATCCCTCTTAAATCCTTTTGAAGCTAGGGTTGTGTGATGGAGAACTCTGAACTACATAATAAATATCAATAAACTTTAAAAGATTTGGGAGGGAAGCATTCTGAGGGAAAAGTTTGGAATTTTTATCATTTCTGTGCTAAAATAAGAATGGACTCATTTCAGAATATAAAATTTGTAGGGATTTTAAAATATAAAACTTGAGACTTCAAATAAATTCTATACAGTTTTCCCTTATCCATAGTTTTGCTTCCCAGAGTTTCAGTTATGTATAAACCAAGGTCCAAAAATATTACATGGAAAATTCTAGAAATAAATACTTCATAAGTTTTAAGTTGCATGTTGTTCCAGATAGCATGATGAAATCTCACTCTGTCCCCACTCAGGATGTGACTTATACTTTTGTCCAGCATATCCACCTGTGTAGGTCACCTGCCCATTAATCACTTAGTCTTGGTCTCAGTTATCTGATTGACTGTCTTGATATGGCAGTGCTTGTGTTCAAGTGACCCTTATGTTACTTACTAATGGCTCCAAAGTGCAACAATAGTGATGCTGGCAGTTCGGTTATGCCAAAGAGAAGCCAAAAAGTACTTCCTTTAAGTGAAAAGATGAAAGTTCTTGACTTAGTAAGGAAAGAAAAAAAATCTAATGCTGAGGTTGCTAAGATCTATGGTGAGAACGAATCTATCCATGAAATTATGAACAGTACATTGTCACAATTCTATTTTATTATTAGTTATTGTTGTTAATCTCTTATAGTGCAAAATTACAAGTTAGAGGAAAACCCAGTACATGTGGAGTTTGATACTATCTGAGGTTTCAGACATCCACTGGGGCTCTTGGAGCGGGTCCTGTGTGGATAAGGGGGAGCTACTGTACTTCATGCAGTTTGCTTCATCTTCCCAGCATTACATTCCCCCTGCTGATAAGGATCCTTCATTGGAAATGAGTGAGAAGCACTGATCATATGCTTCTTTACGGGAACGTGTATCGCCTTTTGACAGGGACTATGTGGCAAATGGTTCATTCCTCGACAAGGTCAGGTATTTGTGTTAGTTGAAAAAAAAAAAAAATCTGCTCTGGTTGCCAAGTATGTAGATGACAAAATGATGTTTTGTTCTGAAAACCGAAGAGCCAAACTTGTTTTCTTACCTTGAAGGATTTATCTCCTTATTTTGGAAGGAAAATGAGCTATAGAAGTGCCAAATTCTTAGAAAACAGCTGTGGGTGTATTGAAATACTTTAAACAGTTAAACATGAAAGGTGTTATACATAGCACAGCAGGCAGATGGAAGCCTGGCCTACAAAATCTTGAAGCCAGGTGTTACTAAGTTAGAGCTTTGACAGGACTCATTTACATATCCAGTATTGAGTAAAACTGCATCCCACTGAGGTAGACACAAGTGGATCTCCAGGTAATTAATCTGTTAAATAGTGTTATTCAGTATTCATTTGCATGCCCAACTGTGACTACCTAAAATAATAATTTGGTTTTGGCATAATCAGTGTTTCTTTCCCCAAGATTGATTGAGTAATAGTCTCTTACTTTTACTCTTATGTGAAAATCTTTTACATTTTTAATTTTTAAAATTGTATATATTTTTGAATAGTCTCATACTGATGGGCATTGAATTGTTTCTAGTCTTCTGTTTACAAACAATGATTCCATAACTGACCCTTAACTTGTGTCATTTCAAGTACATACAACTACAGACTAACTTCCTAGAAGTGGGCTGCTGGCTCAAGGGATATGTACATTTGTAATGAGCTCTATAGGAGGTGAACCAGTTTACATTCACACCATCAATGTGCGAGAATTTTGGCAAAATCTGAATTAGGGTTATAGGTTTTCTTCCGCCCCTCCTTAGCATACTCTTAGTTATATTTTAATAGATATATTCAGGTAATGCAAACTAAACATTTTAGTGGGTTCAATCAATTATTCTTAATTGGAGATGTGAAATGGAATCGCTAGTGGAGTCTTTTCGGAATACACATGGATTGGCCACACCCCGTATCTACTGAATCAGAATCTTGATGGGGCAAACTGTAGTAGGGACTGGGACCTACGTTTTGAAAGGCTATATAGTCAATTACTACATATACAACCAGACACCCCTTCTTGTATTTGAAATAAACCAAAGAACTTGTGTAAGGTTAAAGGGTGGTATAATGTTCATTTTATTTAATTGTAGTTTTTTCAAGTCGTCAAATATTTATGTACACCTGTGATTTTGGTCATACTTTTTAGTAGTTTTTTGTAAACCAGACAATTTAACAACTTGATATAAGGGAAAGCTATTATTATAATGGAGTTTTAGGACAGAAAGGATTTATCAAAGCCTGTATCAAGGCCTTTAAACTACTTTGGACTTTTTCCTTTAAAATATATAGTATAACTTATAAGGCATATCATTTTAAAGTAACCTTGCTGATAGTGTTCATAGATTTCTTCTCCTTAGGGTGAAGGGACTGAGTTATGCTGTTTTAAATAGTGTAGGAATCTCAAGCCACCACCAGGTGTCAGAATGCACTTACATATTGTCATATACTTCCTGAGCCGAAGTGTGCCATCAGGCAAATTCTGACTTCTGGTATAGTTTCTAATAATATTCATACTATTTTGAAAGAAATATTTCAGTTGTACAAAAGAGTAGCTGTCAGTTATGTAGACGTTAACTTACATAATTTTTCTTTCATTTCTAAGCCACTATTAAGTTGCTGTTTTGTGACAATTAGCACAATGTATCTCCTGAACTCAAAGATAACAGGAACTCTGAAATGTATGCGAGTAATTCTACTTCATGAAATCTAAATATCTCCTTCTTATGAACGTTTCTGTTATAGTCATAACTTTCAAAAATTTTAGGGTAGGAAAATTTAAAGGTTATGTAGTCTGCTTACCCTCATATGGGGCACTGAATATATTATTGCGTCATAAAGGTGCTTTTAAAAACTGTGTGGATTCTTTTTTCCAGAATGTGATATACCCATGTCCAGGAGTAAACTTCCCCTGGTTGAATATCGCTAAGTATCGTAAGACTTATTTTGGGTGGGAGATACTCCTGAGGGAAGAGAGTTGCTCAGTAAATGGAATGGAGGCAGAAAAAAATGATTGAGAAGCATTAAATTCAATGACTTCCATTTATACCTGATCAGTCTGCTATTAATAGTATGGTCCAGTGGGATCAGGAGGCTTGAGGAGCACAGTTCTTGGAGCTGGGTAGTTGTTTTGGAATTGCTGGATGTGTATTTATTTAAGGGAAGGTTCAAAAAAACTTTGTTGGAAAAGAAAGCCTAAGGTCAGAGCTAGAAAAACACATATGAAATCAGATCCAAGGGGCATTTGCTTGGCCAAAAACAGAAGGCAAGGTTAGGATAAGGAGCTGGGTAAATATAGGAGCTGGACTCAAAATTCTAGATTTTCAGGATTTGAGCTTTGACCAGAAACAGAATGCTGTTTTATTGGATGCTAGCTGACTGATACCTGGATAAATTTCTGAAGTTAAGGATGAACTTTGATGTAGTAGAGGGAAACAGACCTTGAATGAAGACTTTTAATGACAGCTGAAATCTCCCAAATAGTACCTGATATTCTGCAGAATTTAAGGAAATGGTATATCATATTAGTTATCCATTGCTGTATAACAAATTACCCCAAAGCATAGTGGATTAAAATAATAATTATTACTATCTCACAGTTACTGTGGGTGAGGAATCTGGGAATGGCTTAGTTGCGTCCTTTGGGTCTTTGACAAGGCTGCAATCATAATATCAGCCAAGACTTCAGTTATATCAGGACTCAAAAGGCAGACAGGGGAAAGATTCCCTGGCAAACTCAGTCATGCAGTTGTTCGCAGGATTCAGTTACTTTTAGACTGTTGACCTGAGGGTCTCAGTTACTCACTGGTTGTTGGCCAGCCACCCACCCTTAGTTCTTTGCCCATGGTCCTTTCCATAGGGTAGCTAACAAAGTAAATACAGTGGCCGTTTCTTCAGAGTGAACAAGCCAGAGAGAGACAGAACAAGCATGATGGATTGTCACAGTTTTTATAACTTAATCTCAGACGTGACACCACATTTGCAGTATTCTGTTGTTAGAAGCAAGTCACTAGGTCCAGTCCACACTCGATTGAAGGGGATTACAATGGGTATGATACCGAGAGGTTGGGGATCATGGGGACTATTTTGGAAGCTGCCTACCAAACGTACTGACTGTATCTCTTCTGATTAGATGGTCCCCTGACCATAGTGGTTGTTAAATACTTTTCATATCATCCTTGGTCTCATAATTTTTGTCAGGATTAGAGCTGAAATTAATATCGACTTTCTGTTTGTTTTCTGAAACAGGGTCTCATTCTGTTGCCCAGGTTAGAGTGCAGTGGCATCATAACAGCTCACTGCACCCTCAAACTTCTGGGCTCAAGTGATCCTCTTGCCTCACCCTGCCCAATAGCTAGTACTACAGGTGTGAACCACCGTGCCTGGCTAATTTTTTAAATTTTTTCTAGAGATGAGATGAGGGTCTTGCTATATTTCCCAGGCTAGTCTCCAACTTCTGGCCTCAAGTGATCCTCCTGCCCTGGCCTCCCAAAGTGCTAGGATTACAGCCCTGAGCCAACCTCTCCCAGCACATACCAACTTTTGATATTGATGTTCTTCACAGCCAAATAATATGTATATGTGGAAGCACACAAACATCTTACCAGACTACAAACTCCGTAAGGGTAATGGTAGTGTTTGAATATTTTTCTCACGATTATTTTTTTTTAGTACCTAACATAGTACCAGGCACTCATTACATATTTGTTGAATTAAAGAGTTCATAAAGTATTTTATCAAGTTATAAATTAAAATGAAATCGGCTTCCTCTTTTGCTTTAAAAAGAGCAGTATAATTCCCAGATAAGAGAAAGATGCAGAGGCTGTAACATAAACAATCACCTCCCAAAAAATTCTAATAGACTTCAACGCTTATGTCATTGCTAACATTCACCAGTAGACTCTCAAGAGTGTCGAGTTAAGTCCTTGGCCTACTCTTTGGAATATTGTTTCCTACGCCTTCAGAGTCCTCCCCTGTCGGACACATTCGCTCATGCGGTGTACTGTGTCCTTAAACCCAACACACTGAGCTGGAAATCATTATCTTCTGCCCTAAACCAGCTACTGCCCCCATCCCCACCCCTTCACTTTATCTTTTACAGTGTTTACTTCCTGGATTTCTGTTTTTCAAACCTTAAGGTTACCCTTTTACCAAGTCATATTTATTCTTTGTTTTTGTTTTTTGGTTTTTTTACTACTTTTTTACTACTTTTCCACCATAATCTCAGTCTTATTGCCTTGCAGTAGAAAATAGTCTCCCTAAGGCAAGCTCTTTGCCCTCTCCATTCTCCACTTCTTAGCTAGCTGAGTCTTCCTTAAACCCTGATTGTATTGTCTTTTCCCCCACTTAATGCTCCCGTGAGATAGTCTTCACTCTTTAACTTGGCATTCGTAGGCCCTGTCCCATTTCTTCCATTTTATTACCTGTCGGTCTTTGATCTGAACAGCCCACATTTTCATCTGCCTGCCTTTGTGCTATCCTGTTCCTATTTCTCAGTTCAGATTTGTTTGGTTCTTTGTCAAGGATAAATCAAGGTTTTGTAGGTCCAAATGCTTAATCCTTTTGAAACCTCTTTAAGAAAAGGAGCACAATATGAAGAATACAGAATTAGGAACAGAGCTTGGAAAGGGCCCAAGAAAATGAGGAAACCTGCAGCTTAAGCTACATTAGATTCACACTACATTAGCCTCAGCGCTTCCATTTTGCTTATGTTTTAGCCAAAGGTTAACTTTACCTCCTCCGGGAGGCCTTCTCTGCTAACCCCAGCTGACACTGATATGCCTCTCAGTTGACTTAAGGATCTAGTCTTATGCCACTCCATAGTCTCTTGCAGTCTTCCATTTTGAATTTAGTGATTACTGAAGAAATATTGCTTATTTCTTAATCAAACTATTATAAAGGTAATCACATATAGTTCAGAAGTTTCTTACCATACATGTCATACTTGAAAATAGTTGTTCATGAAATGCTAACCTACTATTAGAGCCCAGGGTAAGTTTCTGTGATGTACTGTGATTATATAAATTAAATTTCTTTGTGTAGTATTATATGTTCTATGTTTGTATATGGCATAGGCTTTATTTTTAGAGGTCAGATTTTATAATAATCATATGATCTTTTTAGTTGATATGTAGTGGGTATGAAAACCGATTGTTGTAAGAAAACATTTTTATAAAATGCAAAAATCTTCCAGTGATCGATAATTATACTAGTCAGAGAATCCTATGCTGAGATTTATTTATTCCTGTTGTTGTTGTTATTTAGATTTTGTCTCTGTTTGTGAAAAACCTCTATTTTCTGTGTCTACTTTGCTGTTCCAGGACTCACTCAAGAAGGCCTTTTTAGAGTGAATGGTAACGCGAAGCTAGTGGAACAACTGCGACTGAAGTTCGAGAGCGGAGAGCCTGTGGAGCTCGGGAGAGATGGCGACATCTGCTCAGCAGCCAGTTTGTTGAAGCTCTTCCTGAGGGAGCTGCCGGATGGGGTGATCACCTCGGCGTTACATACTCGATTCATTCAGCTCTTTCAGGGTTAGTGTGGTAAATCCTTTCAGGAGTTAAAACAATTTTATTTTCTGGTGAAAACTAAGCTTTTAAATACTTAAAAGTTAAATATGAAAATAAGCTCTTAAATACTTACGGTCTTTCCGTAACTATCGCCTTGCTATTTTACTCTAGGCCCTCATCTCCCACCTAAAATAATACTAAACCGAGTATGAAATACCATTATTAAATGGAATTTCTGAGATCACTGGCATATGAATCCTTCAGTAATATAATATTGAGAAGCTGTGATGCTTTTGGGTCAAAGAAATTCTTTTCTGACTAGTGACTGCCATACAAGGAATGAGAAGAAAAAGAAGAAGAATTTAGAAAAATATTAATCAAATTGTGGTTGTTTAGTGACCTTTGAGACTGAAAGCTCTCTGGTGTGCTTGCTTTTTCTCATAAGCAAGATTGAGTCCTAAAATAATTGTCTTCGTTTTGTGAGGTAAAAATTGATGTATGAAGTGATTTTATAAGAAGGAATTCCTTTTTTAAGTGTAGTAATTATGGACATAAACATTGAATTCTCTCCCTCAAACATTATTGAGTTTCTCTTACCATATTTAGGAAGGCCTAAATATGGTAAGAGAAGAATTATTTATCCTTGAAGAGCTATTTCTTTCCTTATTTTTCTTAAGTCAAAGAGGAAAGGGAAAAATGTATTTCTAAGAGTGTTAGTTGCCAGATTAAGGATGTTACTTAAGCTGGGTGTGATGGTGTACACCTATAGTCCCAGCTGTAGTCCCACACTCCCTCTGGAGCTCAGGAGTTCAAGACCACCCTGGGAAAAAACATAGTGTAGCGAGACCCTATTTCTTTTTGTTTTTAATAAAAAAAAAAAAAAAAAAAAGGAAGCCACATTCCTGTACAGCAGTGGTATAAACATTCACATGTAGTAAAAGAATGAGATACGTGAGAAGACAAGATAGGATGAGGAAGAAGGTGCCAGAAATACTTTACCCCACGAAAGACCATTTTCAAATATTAGGTAAGAGTGGTGAGGTTGTGTTGGAAAATTACACTGATCACCCCCACTGGGCATCCACTAGGGAGGGAGATCTCTCGGTAGCTCCCCAAGGCGCTCAGGTCAGCAGTGCCTTCTCACCTGGCCTCTTCTCACTCCTCCGCAGCCCCTGGCTACACCAGGTAGTTCTTTTAGAAAATTACCCACATCTTGTTTCTTTCTTCAGAGTTCCCATCTGGTCCTCGGGAAACACATGCACATCCTTGCTAAGTTCTTAAAACGGAGGTCAGTCCCAGAGCAGAGCCCTGTTTCTTTGTGCTGCCACCCAAGGCACCTTTAGCCAGCCTGTCTGTGTTAGACTCTTTCAGATGTCTTGGACTCTTTCAGGAGTTTTAGGCTGTTCAAACTCCCTGCGTGGTTCTCTGATGCCCCTCACTTGGCTTGGGGACAGTCAGGGGAAGCATTTTATTTCTCCAACAACTCTCCCTTTAAACAAATCCTTACTCTCTAATCTTTAACTTCAAATTTTAAATTTCATGTTTCTGCTTAAATGTCCTTGACATAGGTGATAGATGGATGGCCCAAGGCTTCCAGACCTGTTTTTGGTCTCACCTTAACAAGTTCTGTATAGCTATTCTATTACCTCTTTGTAGAGTGTGTGGGCCTATCACAACCTTTGTTTTTTATGTCTGGGGCCTCAGCCCCAAGTTGTGTTAATTTGCTAGACCTGTCCTAACAAAATGGCACAGACTGAGTGGCTTAAACAAGAGAAATTTATTTTCTCACAGTTTCGAAAGCTGGAAATCCGAGATCAAGGTGCCAGCGGCATTGGTTTCTGGTGAGGCTTTCTCCTTGTCTTGCAAACGGCCACCTTCTTGCTATGTCGTCACATGGCCTATCCTCTGTGTTGGGCGCTCTCCTGATGTTTCTTCCTCTTATAAGGACATCAGTCCTGTTGGATTAGGATCCCACCCTTATGACTTCATTTAACCTTAATTATCTCTTTAAAGGCCCCAAATACATTCTGAGGTACTAGAGGTTAGAGTTTCAACATAGGAATTTTGGAGGAACACAATTCAATCCATAACAGTGATGCAACAGGAAAAATTGTTATTTTGTTTGTAATCTTATTTGGCCACTTTATTTTTCAAAAAATGATTTTCGTTTTTTGAAAAATGCATGATATAATCATAGATAACATAAAATTATTAAATATTGGTAATAGTGATACAATATGGAAGCAAAAATTACAGAACGATTTGTTCTGGTTATCTACAGTGCTTTGGCTTTCTGTGTCATTAAGTGACATTTGGTAAGTGATATATTTGAGGCTTGTTAATCCCAGTGTTCTCTCTTAGATAATCTAATTGAAGTGTGAATAACTACTTGCTATTTTGGTTCCTCTCCGTGTAAAAGACACATATTAGCTGCATCTAGTCAGCCATTTTGGCCCCAGGTCTGTACTTTCTATTTTTATAATCTCAGGTGTGTTTTGGAAGTAGGTATGAATTGTAAGTGATAGGATTAGTGTAAGAATTAGTGTAAGAATAGGATTCATTTAATTTTGGATTAACTAGAAATGTCTTTATTTGAATGTTCCATATTGAAAAATTCTTCTATAATTATTTCTATCTTGTAATTGAGTATTTTTATTGTTATTTGATGACTTGGAATTAGATAAGTCTATCTTTTTTTTTTTTTTTAGTACCTTCTATATCAGTGGTCCCCAACTTTTTGGCACCAGGAACAGGTTTCATGGAAGATAATTTTTCTATTGAGTGTGGGGTGGGGGGAGCTCAGGCTGTGATGCAAGTGATAGGGACTGGTTGTAAATACAGATGAAGCTTTGCTCCCTCGCCGCTCACCTCCTCCTGTGTGGCCTGGTTCCTAAGTTTCATGGAAGACAATTTTTCCATGGCCAAGGGATGGAGGGGGTGCTCAGGCGACGATGTGTGGCCCAGTTCCTAATAGGCCACGGACCAGAACTGGGCCTTGGCCCAGGGGTTGGAGACCACAGTTCTATGTAGATACTGGATATACAAAGAAATAAAAGATTACACATCTTAATTTCAAGGGGTGTGTGATTTAATTGAGGAGGTAGAATTTGTGTTCTGTATATTCTACAACGGTTTTTCAAATGAGCAATAAGAATGTCCAGTCAATGGTAACTGGGGGTGATATTTCAGCAAACTTCCCGTTGAAAGTTTGCTGAAATATCAATTCACAATTAAGGTTGATTAATAAGAGGAAGAGGTTTATTTACTGTGTGCACAAGGAGAATCACAGAGTGATTCCCAATATCCTGATGGGATCCAGATATTATTATACCCTCTTTTTAGAGGGGAGAAGGAGATGAGGAATATAGGTAATTCTGTTTAGGGGCAAAAATGGTTGCTAGAGAGGATGAATGGCTGGGGGAAACATAGTGACTTGTAAATTAACCTGAGAGACACGTATTATGCTTAAAATGATTTGGGCCAGGTCTGGTTGCATTCTTGATTTTCTTTCCTGCAATATAATGAGATAACAGGGAAGAAAAGGGAAGCTGGTTGTTCTTTTGATGGGTCTGTCTGATTATGCGGATAGAGGGAAAGCCCATTCCAAGGGCCTGTTGATCTGTAAGGGGCTTTAATTCAAAATACTCTTTACACCAAGGAGTCATTCTTGGGTGAAGTTTCCTGAGCTCCTTCATAACTAACAAGGCGAGAAGGAAATCAATCTGGATGATGGTGGTCAGAATATATTTTATAGAACCAGTAAGATTGAAGTACGTAAGATTAACCAGAATAGGGAGGAAAACCTTTTAGGTGAGGAAAGAGCATGAGCAGAAACACTAAGAATTGTCTGACAAAGCTATCTGTAGCTAAGAGAGATTTGCAAAGGATATGATCGAAAAAGTAAATTGAGACCAGATGGTACAGTATCTTGAATATTTGTCTAAGGAATGTGTATTTATGTATAATTACTAAATTTTTTGAAGAAATAGTTCATGTGATAGAAGCAGTATTTTAGGCAGTGCTGTGTAAGGTGGTTGAATGGGAAGATGCTAGGTACAGAAAGAATATCTAGAAGATTAACAGAAATCCAGGACATGGTCCTAAGACCTGTCTAAGAGTTGGAAATGGAATTTTAAAAATTGTGGTAAATATACATAACATAATGTTTACCATTTTAATCATTTTTAAGTAAAATTCAGTGGCATTAAGTACGTGTGTAGTGTTCTGCAACCATCACCACTATCCATTGCCAAAGCTTTTTTTCTCATCATTCAAAATAGAAACTGGTAATGGGATTTTAAAGGAAGGTATGGGAAGAAAAAAATAAAAATCTCAGGACCCCCAAAACTCATTCTGCCAAAGGGAGAACTGAGTCTGGGGACTTGACATGTAAGGACTGCCATGTCTCTAATGACCCCAGAACCATGTGGCGGCAGATGGCCAGTTTGTCAGGCTGCTGTGAACGCGTGCTAATACATCAGGAAGAAGGTTTTTTTTTTTTTTTTTTTTATTTCAGAATATTATGGGGTACAAAGATTTTGGTTACATATATTGCCTTTGCACCGCCCAAGCCAGAGCTACAAGCGTGCCCATCCCCCAGACAGTGCACTCTGCACCCATTAGCTGTGAACTTGATCCAGGAAGAAAGTTTTGAGGCAAGGTTGTAGTAGCACCAGGGAGGGCATCTTGCAAAGCTAATGCTTAGACAAGGCCTGGGGCAACTATTATGCTTTTGTCTTCAGTAATTAAAATCTTCTCTTTTCTGTCCATACCCAGGGTGGGGCCTTGACGTTTTAAAATGCTTCAGCTTGTCAGACCTGATCGTTTGTCCTGAAAGGAAGAGACAGCCTTCCACTTTCTAGGAACCTTCTGTGGCTGACTAATACTCCTTCCCTACCTCCAGGTGAATTTGGTATTTATTCCAAAGGCTCAGATGCTGTTAAACTTGGTGGTGTCAATCTTGAATGATGAGATTCAGAAAATATGATTAAGTATAGAGTTTTTGGGGGGCAAAGCTTGACAAT